ATTCTAATAGCAACATTCATAGTCACAATGAATATTCATGCTTCTGCAATACGCATCTAAATGTGTTTGGGCCGCTACTGTTTGGTGCTCCGTACCTGAAGACTACACACCTGGCGTATCTCTACCTGACCAACGGGCCCCGCAACCCGCAAGTACCTTATAATATACCTTGGGAATGATTGTAGTCTGGTATACCAAGGTCATGCAGCGTTTTGATAATCGCTTCCCCCCCTTAAACGACGTCCTCCCCCCCAAACATCAAGCAATCCGGGCTCCGGAAAATATTGCAACATTAGGGAGGACTATTCCTTGAAAGAATTCAAATCAATTCAAAGTTCAAAATCTCAGTAAGATCAATCGAAATCTCGTTAAAGCCCAGGTAGAAATCGATTGAAATCAATCTAAATTCCAAATTTTATTCACATGTAAATCAAGCATAAAATCAAGCATAATGTAACAACCTGTTTATCATTTTCATTAAATCCAATTAAATCGTACTAAAATCGAACTAGAATCCGTTAAACCCGCATTTAAGTTGTATAAACTCCTATACAAGCTGCATTCAAAAAACCTAGGACATCAAGGGGATATCTAGTTCTTTTGATTCACTATCATACCCCGCCAATGACCTCAACCCCCCCCCCACCGGCGCAATTCAGTATTAGGTGGCCCCTTTTAACAGTAGCCTTGCCCTTGTGTAAGTATGTACAAGTGCTGTTCGGGATTTTTAGGCCCCTGGATTTACTGAGGGATTGTATATTAGGGGGTTTTCAACAGTAGTATGTCAACATATTGAGACGCCATCTTCAGGGGGCATCCCATGCAGCGCGAAATCCGCAATCCAACGCCCGAGACTGGCGTGAGACATGTTAGACGGGGCACCCCTTATAAAGCCAACCCCAAATATCAAGTTCTTCCTGCAAAGGGGTCAGTCCTCTGCACGAATCCTGGTTCTTTGCGGCCAAAGAAGTGGTGGAAACTGGCTGGGACGCCCGATGGATTCGAATTCAGAACTTAGACAGACCAGTTGGGCCTAAGATTGAAGATATCATGGGATATACCAGAGGGTGGTCTCTTGGCATAAATCGTTTCTGCCCAAGGGTCGTATTACCTGTAAATGTATGTGTTACTGTTATAGCTATAAATACACACATATGTATATGTATGCATATGGGTGTCTCTGTCCCTCTCTCTCTCTCTCTTGCTCTCTCTCTCTAAATGTCTAGGTTTATTTATGCAGACATATATACACATGCACACGTACATATATATATATATATTTATTTATATTTATATTTGCTTGGTATATATTTATCCGTACCGCACATATGTATGTATATGTATATGTGTGTGAGTGCAGGGACACCTGCAATGCCCACATGAGTTTCCATAGTGACCGGATACGTCAGGGACCACGATCGGATGTAATTATGGGCTGTGTGCACAAGGCCGTGTGACCAACGAGGCGAAGGCCCCAAAGTTTTCCAGAACCCAGGTAAGAATATCAACGAAGTTAAAACTACATAATATCTCATGTTCTCTTATGCTTACTAGTGTAGATAAATACCTAGTACTTATTCGTAACGTACCTACCTTGCAAGTAGCACGGATGCGCATTCCTGAGGCTTCCACATAGTCCCAGTAGATCCAGAGTTTGAAAAGCCTCAGAGAAGTGCGGGCCATTTGCAGCTGCACAGTAGAATTTATGGGTTGTTATGACATAACATCCTGGGAACGGGTAGGCAGCTAGGTTCTGCTTGTGAAGTGTGTCATCAAGCTTGGTCCTGGTCTGCATTGCGGTCTGGGGCCGCCGTTCAAAACAGGCGACCATTAGGTGGTGGGCATTTTTTGAAATCCGTGCCTAGCGCTCACAGGAAGGAGCCTCCCTCGAACGCTGCGCAGGGTGCCCACAGAAATGAGCGCGAAGCAGATGAGCGTAGTCCAGAGGCATATGAGGGTTGTGGATCGACAATTGACATCGACAGTGCCAGTGGTGCAGTGGGTGAGTGTGCCAGGAAACTCTCTCCCAGACTTCCGGGCGCCTTGCTATGTAGTCCTAAAGCCAGTTTAAAAGGGACTAAGGGATCACACTTCAGGTGCCCATCTTCTATGGTTCCCTGGCAGCTTTCTCAAGGCCAGCTTGGCCTCACAAACAGCAGGGGGCCAGCAGCAGGGATACATACATCTCAAGGCCTTGTTTCAAATAAAAAGACTTCAATATGAAATGGTACAGCACCAGCTATTGTAGCACGAATCAGGCACAGCATGCATCTTCGTATAATTCACTTGAAGTCAATCGACGCGCGGACTTGTACCGCAAAAGAACCAGCATTCCAAACACCAGCGCATACATTGTCAGAACCTTTCAGAGGCTTCTCAGCGACGCGACGCGTCCTCCACCCTTGGCCGGCCCAAAGCACGATCGCCCTTACAGCATGGGCCCCCGAAAGCGGGCATTCAGCATACGAAGCCCGAATCCTAAGCCCACCTTCAGCCCTAAACTTGCCCTAGGACTACAACGTTCGCCTTTAGGATATAGTACCCCTTAAATAGATAGAATATGGCTTTGTGTATATTACAACAAGATCCCCATATGCCCATATTCTATCAACTGACGGGGGACTATATACTCCAAAGCCTAAACCGTAAATAGTAGTTTCCATTTTCTTTTCCCTTATCCCAATATAACCCCTATAAAACCCCATGTTCTATCTACTGAAGGGGGACTATAGCTTACTCTATCTGAGACGTCGCCATGGCAATCGATGCGGAGAGCATGGACATGGAAACGGAGGAGCTGATCTCCCAAGATCAAGGTGACCGTGCTTCAAGGTGTATATGAGCTGAAGTCTAAACTCCCTTAAAGGGGTTATATAGAGGCTTATATAGAGGATTACTATAGGGTTTATCAAGGTGGATACTAGGAGTTTAGACTATAGCTCATATAGGGATTATGTAGGGGACATATTGTTGGGGATAATGGAAAAGAAAATGGAAACTACTTTGACAGGCTATATCAGGCTTTGGGGTGTGGGTTCATTGCTGGCTTAGCAATCTGGGCGAATTACAAGCAGGTACTCAGACCATCGCATGCAATTCCTCTTGTGAATGCATTGTGAAGATTACAGCGAAGATTACCCTTACAGTAGCTCTCCATCTAACTGCTCCTGGATCGGCAAAATATTAGCCATACGGGCTATACCTTACTCAAGCCTGTTACTTCGTTGTTCCATACATTTGCTCCCGATTCCTTAGCTATGCTTCCGGGTAAGCCTGGCCCCGACAAGTCTTTTTACTGGGGGTTAGTAGGGAATAAGTGAGTATATTACATGGGATTGTACTGGGATTATATGGGTGGTTGTCAAAATTATGGTCCCTTTTGGGGTACCCTACCTATTAGGTGCCGTATTATAATAGGGACCCAAACAGGGACCATAATTTTGAATACCACCCATATAGGGGTTAGATACGGATCATATTCCCCAATTCAACCAGTAAGTCTTCGTGAGGCGGCAGCGCTAAGCCTCGGCGATCCCTGCTCCGCATTGCCTCCAGCGTTGCCGCTGCGCATCCTGGAAAGAATCCTTCAAAAGAGTAGAATTTTATTTGAGGATACTGTGGTACCCAATATAGAGTAAGATTATATCCTCCTTTTGGGGTATAGTATTTTATCTAAGGAATGTTATGTTACTAGGTTCAACCACCAAGAAAAACGCTACTCACAAGTTGTTTCGTTTCATAAGCATGAAAAGAGAGAGCAATGAGAACGCCCCAAGAAGCCAGGGTGACTAAGGCAACACCAAGCCACCAGAATCTTCGTTAACACCCCAGACCCCCCTAAAGCATCCCCAAAACTGGAACCCCCCCACTATGAACATTGGGGAAACTAGGGGATTATTAGGGGGTTTCCTTTTTTTTTGATCCTTTTTTGGGGCTCCGGGACCCCTTTTCAGATGGGCCAAAGGCTGGCACTTCTTGGCCTGGCTCTCTGGCATGCGCAGCCGGCGGGTGAAGCCCGTACCCAGGGCCTTGGAGGCCAAAAGCTGTTTGGCTTAGAGAAGGAGAGAGTTGTCATAGCGTATAGTCCCCCCAAAGAAGATCCCCATATGGGATATATGGGGATCTTATTATAATGTACCCAAAGCCATATTCTATCTACTTAAGGGGGACTCTAGGGGCTTAGGGTGTTGGGTTGGGATGTTGGGGGATGGCTGGTAGATTTGTGTGTTTCTCAGTTGGCTGCACCGGATTAGGCGGCAAAAAAAATCGGGGTTACAGCAACACCACGAAGTTTGTTACCGTAAGTCCTGCGAGGTAAGTAGATGGGCCCCAAGGAGGCCAGAAACTCCGAATTTGACAGCTGCCTACACACTCCCCGTTAGCAAGGCCCACGAAAACGTTTGCGAGAAATTCCGTGCGGCCCTCAATGCGCAGTTTCGGAAGCGGAGTGGCTGGAATGCTGAAATTAAAAAAAGCTGTATGAAGCTCAAGAGGCAGTGAGAGCTAGGGCCACAAAGAGTACCGCAGAGGTGGCGGCAGTGATGGCACCGAATATACAGTCGCGGCAGCGACAGCAAGACCTTCACCAACAGCAGAGAATGTGTGGTAATGGGGTGGTCGTAGGGATGGGCTAGACCATAGGGACGGCAGAGTAGGAAAATGGCTGCCAAAGACAATGCGTGCTGTTTGCAGGCATCTTACAAGACTTCCAGCTCTTGGATGCGTGGCAGATGTTGTCAGGCGCGCGGAGGTTTCACGTAAGCTGTATGCTAATTTCCTCGAACGCGTCATGGGTTAGTGACTGGGAATACATGAGCAAAGATTCTGGAAGACTTCTGCTGCAAGCCTTAGTAGAGTCTGTGTTTTTGGGATGTTAGCAGGGTCCAGGGGCATGACCACCAACCTGATTTTAAGAAGCTTTCATGGAAGCAGCCAGCTGAGACTACCTGCAAGGTGGAAACCCATTCCAGTACCGCTGCCCAATGAGCGTTTTTCAGCGCATGGCTGCTGTTGCGCTTGTGGGCAAGGCCCATGCTTTTCTGGGTTGATGTAAGTTACTATATTACTAACGGAAACCCTATTAAGCACTTACTTAATTTAAGTTCTTTGCCCAGCCGCTGTAACTAGAATGCCGAGGATGGGGGTAACAATTCGAGTAGTTCCCAAAATCAGGGTTTAGGGTTTGCGGTCTAGGGTTTAGAAGTAACATAGGAGTTATTTGGGAAGTTCCAAAAATTAGGGTTTCATTTTGGTACCCTTAGGTATTAGGTGCCGTAATATAATCTATAGCTAATTGGGGCCCATAATTTTGAGAACGGCCCAATTATAGGCTTTGCCCGCTTTAGAAAATCCGCACGCAATAGTTCAGCTTCCTGAGTGCTGGAAGGCGGCAGAGGGCGACTGCTGCACCACCTACGATGCAGTACCAATGCCACCTGGATTTGCAAGCTTGCAGTGTCAAGAGGGAGAAGAAAAGACGTGTAGCAAACGTGTAGCGTAGGGAATCATAATTCAATCAGTAACAAAGCGGGCCCCTCAGCCCTTAACCTAAGATCCTAAGCATGGACCCAAAATATCCTTCCTGCTTCATGAGATCATAACGGCCCCAGGATTTAAGGGCTCCTGCCAGAGAGAGGCCCATATTTCCAACTATACTGTGAAATTTTCTTCAGGTGCTTGACAGGCGGTGACCGGCAGCGAAATCTTAATTTTCCTTGTATTCAATCCTAAAACAAGCCCAGTGCAAATTATTTGGTGGCAGCTTGTTACCCAAGATTCGGATTCACGACTGATGATTGGGTCCGAAACAAGCGCCCCTTTCTTGAGAAACGCAAGTTGAGACTAATTCACGCATGCTAATTTCGTAATACCTCCTTGATTGAGCGACTGCCGAAAGAGCCCCTGTAAAACATCAAGCCAATTGGGCTACAGTGCAACATGATTCTACAGGGGGATCTATCGGGCGAGCATTAAGGCCCATTCTAGTTGAAGAGCCAGCATGCTCTTCTTTGTGGCCGGGTTGGAAAACATCTGGTCTACTGCATTGTATTCATCCTCATGTTATTCTCGATTCGACGTTCATTTGAAGCGGGCTTTCAAATGGAGGTTTACCTAAATAGGGGACCCCAATACAAACCCCTAAATACTATAGCCCTTACTATGGGGACCCCCAATAAAGTACCCCTAATTTTGGGAAATCCCCAAATCCCTGTGGTTTGTGGAGGCTTTGGCCGTACCAGTTCCCAGAGTGCGGCAAGTCTCACTGTCCTTCTTGCTGCTCGCCTTGAAGCTGAAAGTATCAGGGTACACTTGGAGGTTTCCCAAAATTAGGGGTACCTTTTTGGGGGTCCCCATATTAAAGACTATAGTATTTTGGGGTCTATATTGGGGTCCCCTTATTTTGGGAAACTACCATTTATTTACTCCTTGGGACTTAGCTTGGACCTTAGACCCTTAATTCTTTGGGATTCCCTTATGCTCCCATTACAGGTACCTAAGGGTTAACCCTTAAAAGGGGAACTAAGTGCCGCGTAGTTTGGTATAGCAGCCCAAAGCATTAGGGAGTCTATCCCCTGACATCAATGTAGTTTTAACTTCAATCAGACGATAAACCCAAAGCGTCCAGCGGCCATTTGTAATCCTTGGGGCCGCTACCAAGGGTTTAATGTAGAGATTATATCGGGCCTACATAGGGATAATGGAAAAGAAAGTGGAAACTACTATTTAGGGTTTAGGGGGTTGAGGGTTAGCCAAGCAGTCCATGCTATCATTGCAGCACCTCTCGCTACAGCTGGAGGATCTTTGTTCTTTTGGGGAACGTTCGTGGAAAACTCCCACATTCAGAGTCCGGCTGCATTTTGGTTAGGTCGCTAGCTGTGGTGTTGGGGGAAGCCCGGATCATAACTACCTTGGCGTGTAATTCCCGAAGATAGGGGTAATTACCCCAAGATTACCCCAAAATATATTAATCCTTATTCTAAGGATCTCTACAAAAAGTATTCCCATGTTTTTCGGGAAAACCCCATATCCGCTGGTAAGAAAAGATCTCAACGCGTTGGAAGCTCTTACGAAAGAAGGCGCCTCCAAGCGGTCGGCAGTTTAAGTTAAATGGTCAAGGGGCTGGGCTTTTGGGTTGGTGCTTCACTGGCATTGCTTGAAGTTAGAAGCTGGTCGCAGTAGGCAACAGAGTTCTCAGGGCATTCAAGTCTTCAAATGATGCCCCCTGTTAGCCCTAAAGCCTATGGATAGTACGAAATCTTTGTCGCCTTGATCCCTTGATTTTTAATGGGCTAACTGGCACAGAGGGCTTGCAGCGGTGAGTAAGACAGCTTCCCGACCTAGCCTCGCCTGGGCCTGCGCGGAACCAAGATACTCGTATCAGTATATTATTCTATGCTATAGTATATTATCTTATAGTAGATTATAGTTCTGTTTTTTATTGTCGACTTTTAAACACGGCGGGCCAAGAGGTCCCAAGCAGGAACCTTCAACTGGCGTAAACTCCATCTCGTATGTCGCTCCTTGAGGCTGGCGTGCGGATGGCGACTTGCGGCTTGTCAATGTTAGGGTTTAGGGTTTAGGGTTTTGAGAATGGCTGTTGTTTTCCAATGTCTTTGGGGTTTATGCTGCTAGACAATAGGTTTGACAGGGGATCTTGGAGAAGCGAGGGGGGGGGGAGGACCAGATGATTGGCGACTACCACTATCACTGCTCTACTGTTGTCATCAAGAGGGGGTTTCAAAACAAGGGGAGCTTCTTTCAGGAGTCCTCTATAATAGAGGTCATAATGTTATAGCTGCTACTGGTTCGGTTTTTTGCTCCCAAAACAAGTCAGCCCAAAACCGTCCCTAAACCTTAAAAAATCTCTACATCACCTCTACCAAACCCCCAGTTTTCAGTTCATTGTCCATGTGATTCTCCATAATACCCCAATTCTTATAAGCCCCTATATATTCCTTATTCCCCCTGAGACATCGCTATATATCCGCTACACATCCCTATATTTCCCGATATATACCTACATATCCTTATATCCCCCCATATATCCCTACATGTCCCTATATACCCCTATCTCCCCGATACATCCCTATATATCCCTATATACCCTTAACCCCAAGCCCCTAACCCTAAACCCCCAGCCCTACACCCTAAATCCTAAAGCCAAACCCCCAACCCACCCTCAGCCCTAAACCCTCTGCCCTCGACCCTAAACTCTAAACCCTGAGCCCTACACATCCCAAAGTCCCCAGGGCCTCCTCAGACGTCAGCGGCTACGCCGCCCTGGGCTTCGCGGCTTCGCTGGCCGTGAGCAGCCCGAAGGCTTGGGAGGATGTTGGGGGATTATATAGGGATAATGGAAAAGAAAATGGAAACTATAGGGATAATGGAAAAGAAAATGGAAACTATAGGGATTATATAGGGATAATGGAAAAGAAAATGGAAACTATAGGGATTATATA